TGCATTCTCCTTCCGAACACAAAACATATTTATATATTCAGCAGCCACCTTGTCAAATAATGATCTTTATCCGTTGTGATTGGCTGCCTTATTAGCATATGTATTGGCATAAAATTGTAGAACATTTGTAAACGTCAAAATCATATAATGAATGTAACTTCTATGCCAGGGATGACATAATTCTCATAATTACACCAGTGTATTGACAAGATATATCACATTTTATGACAGAAAGAACCAGCTTTTACAATATTTTCTTTGAACATCAAAACAGATAAGATTTTTTGCAACAACAAATTAAATTATTCATATTTTAAAAAACTGAAATATAAAAATTAAAGCTGAAAATTTTAACTTAGACCTAGATACTTTATAAGTACTTAAGAAAACACAGTACTAAGTTAATTTTGATATTTACATAATAGCTCATTCTTCAGCTTACACAGTATAAAACAAAAATATCATTTCACTATTAAATTATCATACAAAATGATGCAAAACAATCAGATAATTAGTAATGTGGAAAATGAACACTTTAATTGCAAATATTAACTAGCAAAATAAAAGAAATTACATACAAAAGTATTATGTCACAAAGTCACTTTGAGTATAATATCACTCAGATGAGCTCTACCAGCTGTCTAGCAAACCTCAGTATGTTGTCTCACATTGTCTGCCTATAACTTTCTTCATTATATTCTCTGCAATTCATTGAATCCCAGTTCATATCATTCAGGACAACCAGGCAGCTTTTTTCAGCAGCAAATAGAATAGTCCTAAACTGTTTAAACCAGTGGTCTTAACCTTTTAGTGATGAGGGACCATTTATCAAAATTTTTGTCTTGTCATGGATCATGAGCTGTTTAGCAGTAATATAAGTTCGTATAAGGTTGTTCTATAAATTAAACACGTACAAAATTATTCGGAACCAAGAGTATTATATTATTTGCAAAAGTGTTATATTAATTACAGTAGACTCCCTATAATGCAGGTTCATATAATGCGGATTCGTATATTGCAGCAAAAAAATTGTGAACATATTCGTATAAAGACACTAAAAGACTCGTAAAATGCAGTAAAACGTCATCACCGACTCGTGTCATGACAGGATTGGTCGAATCTGGACCAATAGTGGACGAGCAGCCAAACTACTTACACGCTATGGAGAGTTTAGGCGGGTAAGTTGAGTTTACTATCGTCTGTACAGTATATAAATTAGTTACTGTAAGTCTAATACAGTACTGTAATTTTATACATTTCTTGTGAAAGAAACATTTCTTATTCAATGGTTATAAAAATTATTTCTATTAATGATGTCTCCAAAGTTCAAATTTTTCACAGAAAAATAACTTATCAGAAAATGCGCCCGCCTTTTGGTGCGCTGCTCCACGACAAAAACAAGCTTAAGCAATGGCATTGTCAAACAGTGCACACTCGGTAAGTAATCCTACAATTTTTTGTTTATAGCATAGTTTATACAGATTATTCCCAAAAAATTATATGTGTTTTGGAAATGTTGAGTCAAATTAGTCTAGAATCGGTTAATTTTATGGAAGAAAACCTTTCAAACAGCCGTAGTCCATAAACTGCACACGTGCCGGGCTGTGATTGGCTCATGTATTTAAGGATTCCTACAATGCAAAATTCTTATAAAGTGGAACGTATCTATCGCAATATGGGGGGTCGATTGTATATTATTTTAGTGCGATTTTTGTGACTGCATACTGTTCACCAACTGCTGAACTCTTGGTTCAGTGCTACTTAAAGCCAAACGCATGTCGGCACTGGCATCCAATCACTTTCGATGTTTATTTTTAATTATCAAAAGCACTGAGAATCCTTGCTCGCATAAATATGTGGTTGAAAATAAAGTTAGGTACTGTAAAGCAATTTCTCAAATTTTAGGGAAATAAATAGCTTTTTGGTTCCAAAAATCTTTAAGATTAATTCCTGTCTTAAATGTATCCTTGCAGTTACTATTATGTTGCATTTCAATTAATTCTTCTTGTATTTCATCCGGCACCTCAGAAATGTTGACTATGAAAGGATTGCGAATCAGTTTCCGAATACCTTTGTCCTTGCAGTCAGGAAAATAGTGATTAAATTCATTTTTCAAGTTTTGCAAATGGAATTTAATGTTCTTTTGTATTTGTCCTTTAATCTCAATCAATAATTGGGTTCAATGTATCAAATGCAGAAAAATTCTCTCTTTCAACTTTGCTGATCCATAGGTCAATTTTAGCGATAAACGCACTAATTTTATCTTCAAATGCAAATACTGTATATTGCTAGTGCCTTCCAATTTCATATTTCTTGACCATGCACCATACCCTAGCCCAGTCCGCTATCAGCTCTAACCTTAATGTACCACGCATTGTCATCAACTCGTCGTCATTGATTTAATAATTTAGGGATGACTTTAAGGACCACTTCAAGTGCTTCCAGGGACCACCAGTGGTCCATGGACCACAGGTTAAGAACCACGGGTTTAAACCAATTCAATATGGTTTGGAATGTTAGTATCTTGCCATTTTTTCCAATGTCAAAATGTTATGTTAAAATAGTGTTATTGTTTTAAAAAAAATGCTTCTATAGCAAATGGTTGCTGTTTTCTTAACCAACAATTCATGGCTACTGAAAACTGAATTATTCTATACAACAATATGTTTCAGCATGCCAAATACAAACTTGTTAGCATAACAACAAATTTATATTATCTAATTGTCTCTGGTGTATCCTATATAATCAATTATTATAATATCTAAAGCTTACAAATATAATACCAAAATCATTTTGAAGTAGTTACTTTTGTGGCAAAGTCATAAATAAAAAATTGAAAAAACCTACAATCAGTTTCTACTATCTAAAGTTAAATAAGTATAATTCTATTATTATATGACAATTACTTTAAAAAAAATAAACACACAAAAAATTCATTTCTTGTGTATTATTTCCAAGTAGAATGTATTAAAGGTATTAGTATTCAGTAAATAAATAATAAATTCAAAAACCTTATATCACTAAACATACAGCAGTAAAATGTTTATCTATTTAAACAGTAATAAATGCACTTTTCAAAAGTGTTTTATTTACATGTTTACAGTGCTTTACACTGTCCATATTTTTTGAATGTATTAATTTATGACTCCATTATCAGGCATAGAATATCTGCAGACCAATACAAAATCACAGTCAAAATTACCATACAACCAATTTTTTAACAATGAGATTTCTTATCGGTATGCAAAAGCATGAATCCTATCTGATATGTAGTATTACACTGAAATATCTGTATAAGATAAGTGGGGAAAGATGATACTCTGTAACTCATTCATTGGTCACAGTGAAACTCATTTGCAATTATTCTTGTCTACATGTGCAGACTACATGAGAGTTTCTTTTGATTTATCATCATTCATCCAAGGAATTTGCAGATTTATGATCATAGTTGCTGGTATGGAGTCATAGTACTTACTATCAGAAAGAGAAATATACTAAGTACTCTTGATTCTGTGTTTAAGGTAAACCAATATTTCATGGCTAACAAAGGATGGGTACAGACATATTTCAAAAGAGTCAGCTTTATTTGTATTTAGTTTTTACCACATTGTATTTAGTGATACCAGTTTAAGGAAAACACTTTTTGTGAAGTTAAGTCTTTTAAGTTAAAAATATAACTTGTTTACAGTTTCAGAATTTATTTTACTTTTAGTAGTGCTGCAACATGTTTGAAAAAAAGAAATTTATCAGTTTTATTTATTCATTGCTAGATCAAGCATCATAATTACCAAAGAAAAAGTAATCATGCTGTTTGGGTATTTTTAAGACAAAAGACAACCTAAATCTGACTGAACTGAATGTATCTTATGTAAGAAATGTTTTCACAGTTTGTTCTCCAGTAACACTAAATCTCACTCTTATATTCAGGAAAGACAAAATTTCAGTTGCTTACGATCTTATCAGTAAAGATCTGGTGTTTTCCATAAAGCATAGTTAAACAAATGTCTCACAATTATCCTGTACGAGGTAAAATTTTCAAAACTTAATAATGGGCAACTTCTTATTTGTTACAACATATTCAATAGCTATAGCATCTTCCCCAATTTACCTTGAATGATCTTCAGCATAGTAAATAACTTAAATATATAGTAGCTTTATAAGAGACTCTTCTGCTAGACACTGTTTACTTGGCTTGCTCCAATTCAAAAGATCACTAAACCATTCCAAAACTAAAAACAAAATTAAAACCAAAGTAGGAGGAATATATATACTATGGCTATACTGATAATGTAATACATGCCAATTAATGAGCAGAGAGAATAGCAAATGATGCTGCATTAAGTCAACTTTGTGCCTGATTCAAATGTGCATCCCAATTTTTAAGACCAGATAAGTCCAAAAAAAGACTAGCATTAGAAATGAGCAAACATGGTATTATTTTAGAAGTGTATCAAATTAACTTTATTTTAATTTTGATTATTTTTTTGTTTAAGTTTTGTTGATATAAACAAAACATTAGTTTTATATTTCAAGATCTTGAAAACATTAAGAATAGCAGTTAAAATTTATTGAATATGTAAATAGTAATGACTATTTTCTTAAGAAAATTGGTATTAATTAACATAGTTTATTGCATTACTCACAAAATAATTTGTATAATTACATGAATAATAAAATTATATAAATAAGCAAACGTGTAAGAATTTTATGGCAAAATGTAAAATTCAAAATTATGCTACAAATACAGTAAATTTTATTTCTTTAAAAAAAATGAAAATTTTAGTTACTTCAAAATAAAATAATCAAAATCACAATAAATTTATTCTGAACATTGCATATCTAAAGCAAATAAAATTAATTTAAAAGGAAAAACTTAGAAGTTAGATTATTAGCATGTACACACATTATTTTAATTGCTTTCACATTCAGTTATTTTAATTCCTATAACATTGTAATTATTATAACAACTATAGTCCATATTTTCACCATACAATAAATATACATTTGAAGATATTTTTATTTTATAAATATTTCATGATGATTTAAAATGCACCATTTATAATTAACAATAAACAAATTACTTACAGCGTAATCCTGCATTTCTTGTTCTTTTGTAGTAAGACGCATGACCAAAATATTTTCACGTCTGGTGGCTTCTAACTGTTGTTGTTTAAGTTTCTCTTCTGATTCTCTTAAACTAACAAGTTCCACTGAAGAACAAAACAAAATTGTAAATGCTTACTTAATACAAGAAAACATTTATGTAATATTAAAATCATAGTCAAAAGTATAAACAAAACATTTATAGGAAAACTAATACAGACAAAATAAAATACTATATTTTCCTTGATTTTAAAACACTTATGTACACAACACAAGCAAATTAAATAATGTTAGGAACTAATAATAAATGCTTTTGGCTATACTCCTGAATAGTAAAATCACTTCAAATGAGCTTTGTCAGTAGCAAGTATTTAAACTTTTTTAATGTTCAAAATGGCATAATAATGCAGCATTAAAATGATAATTGTATATGCAAAAGAGCATGAAAACAGAACTGTTAAAAATTACCTGTTTCTTCATGGCATATGTATTGTTTTTCTAACTTAATATTATTTATGTGTTATAATTATTATACATTAATAATTATAACATGTAAATATAATTAAGCACAATAAAATTAATTATTTTAAAATTTTCCTCAAAGAAAAATCTTACAGTTTGATTCCAAATTCATGTTGTGTCTTAAAATCAAGTAAATAAATATAAACATATAAGCATATTTTTCACCAAAAAATTAAAATTAGAAGACATGCAGTTTCATCAGCAATACAGAAAAAACTAAAAAACTTTTTATCTTTTCTTGTATCACCAATAAAAACGTGTATCTCCTAATTTGAAATAAAGGAAATATTGTATTTAAAAACTACATAAAAAAGTACTTATTTTGCCTGTGCGTAACCATGATGTATTTATTTCATTTTCAACAACCAGAAAAATACAAGAAAATCATTAATGTGATATTACTGTAATTAGTGACACACAAATTTTATATATTTGTACAATACATTTATCATTCTGTAAAAAGTAACTTCTACAATATTTAGAATTATTATTGGTTTCAATAAATACTGCTCATAATGTTTTAAGTATACTTAGTGCTCACTTGACACCAATTTACTAAGTTTATAATATGAGGAGAAAATTACAAGTACATTTGCAATTATTTATAATTATTGTTGTAGAATTTTCTTTATAAATATAAAAACTGATTCCATGAGATAAAAATTAAATGCTGGAAATTTTCAAACACAATCCAATAATAATAATATTAACTAAATTCTTTTCTTGAAAGCCAATTAATATAATTTGTATTTATTATCTTTTTTCAAATAACATGAATCTATATCCACATTAACAACACATAAGACAGTAAATTATAAACACACTTGTCTTGTTTACATTGCCATTTTAAATTTATACAGCATCTACAGTTTGTTAGAATTGCCAATTCTTTGTTTTTTAACTGCTTGGTAGTAGGAAGTGCTCCTTACAATTTCTACTTTACATACATTTATTCTTTAAATTTTTAATGCCACAACTAAAACTGGATAAACTAGTAAATCAACATTACATACCCAAACTCCAGCATTCATTGAATAGTTTGTTTTACAAATGTTTTCAGTGGGCTTAAGCCATCATTGTGAGCTTAAAGCTACCTTTTGAATGTAGAATAAAATTTAAGATGGAATGCCTTCTTCCTTTGAAACTTGGAATGCTATATGCACTGGTATCATTTGAATGTCAAAGATTGAGTTCTGACTGGTCAGTTGTAATCATTACATGCTTGGCCTAGGAGAGTGATATTCTGGATCTCAAATAAGGCTCTCAGACCTATGCCACTGAGTTGTGTCTTTGTAGTTGATGCCATTCCATCTTGTTCTATATTCAAAAGGTAACCATAACCTGACCATAGCGGCTTAAGCCCAATGAAAATGTTTTGCTTTTCTTGATGTATGCTGGAGTTTGGGTACATAATATAACATTTATTCTTTATTAAACATCTTATCTCATATCTACCCATCACCAATGATAAGGATTAAGCCTGTTTCCCATACCAACTACCACTATTATCACTACCATCAATCAGTGATTTCACAAAACTTGGGCAAATAATCATCTTACTTATTTTTATTAATATTTTTAAAAGCATAGATCATATTTATTTTAATGTTAATTTTAAAAATGTTTTGAGTCTTTATTAAGAAGTCCTTTAATTAGCATCTTGTGCTAAAAAGCAGATCATTTATAGTGTTGCTGATGACTTCAATTTTATTTCTGTTAATCAACATATCACATCAAGTTTATAATTATGCATTTTATCTTATAATGATGACACACATTTAAAGCATTCTTTAATCTAAAAAATGTTTATATTACTTTATTTGTTTGCTGTTTGCAGTAAATTATATATTAGGCCTATTTAATTATTTGTATGATTTAATTTGAATTTTCCAAACTACCTAGTAATAATTATTAATTGGTTCATATATTATTGCTTTATTTTGTGTAGTTTGCAATAATTTTCAGAGAAATTTTGTGTATGTTCTAGGAGAATTTTGGATCCTAAAAATATTCTACACCTCTGCCATATATAACATAAAAAACTAATGTAATAAAGTACCTATACCATAATTTCACTGTAATGAATACTGTAATAAACTGTTCATCATTTTGCTATTACAAATTATATTTTATTGACATGTTTTTAATGCCAATATTCAAACTTCTCTAAATAAAATTTTTGGACAATTTGTTTTTGTAGTTCCTTCAACTTCAAATTATATGATTTCTACTATAGTAAAAATGCATTTTATATGATTTAAAGAATGAAATATTGATATCACGTAACTTGAAACAGTTTTTAACATATTAAAACATAACAAAAACCCAAAATACAGCACAAAAAAATAACAAATTTAATTTAAAATAAATACTTTTGGTACTTAAACAACGATCATCACATATTATCCAGTTTTTTGAGATAGTAGACAGTTTGCAACATATATCTGAGATGTTTGTTTTTATTTTTTATTCTTTATTCTTATACAAGGATGATTCAAAAAGTATGGTTATTGCTCTCAGCAAAACTAATCTAATAGATGTGCACTAATCAAATACATTATCATATGTCTATATCCCACTATGCTTATAAAGCACTACTTCAACACCTATGCATCCTCTGTGAACAATGGAAACAAACCAAATTCCCAGACTTCCTTGCAAAATGTAAGTTTGCCATATCACAGAAATTCTGTTGGCAGAAAGGTTGAATTGCTGGACTGTGGAAGAAGAAAGATAAAAAATTCAATGGTAATAGGGCCTTGGTAAGACTGGTGTAGAGATCCAAAACATTCTAACTAAAGTGTATGAGCCAAACATCATGAGCTTTCACAACATACAGAACAGGCACAAGAAGTTTTCAGAAAGCTGAGACTGTGTGAAAGACAAGAATCAAAGGAATAGGTCTGCCACTGCCTCTAATAATGGTTATTTTCAAGGAATTAAACAAATCATCAGAAAAGATCATTGTATTCACACATGCACAATTGCTGTTGCATCACATATCTCAGTTGGGTTAGCACACAGCATTACTTTTATGGCAATAAACTTCAGAAAAGTAGCAGCCAGATAGGTTCCTCAACAGCTGACTGAAAGTCATTGTCTCAACCATATGTGGAGAAGCCTTGAGTGGACAATGCAAGTTGAGAAATTTTCAGGGCTGTGGAGTCGGAGTTGGAGTTGTGGAGTTTTGGTGTTTTAGCCAAAGTCAAAGTCGTCAAAAAATCTGCCAACTCCAACTCCTTTTTACTTACCAACTTGTTATGTATATAAAACAGAAAAGTATTGGAATCGTGTCAAATTTGACCCTCCAAGTTTTTGTTTTTTTGTAAATCTACACGTTTGGAGACCTCCTGAACCCCTCAAAAAAGCCAATAAAGGGGAAAAATTCGCACGCGCGTGTGTTGGCATCTAATTTGTTTAATTTCTTTATTTTCTGTTCTGAGATATTAAACAACATCTCAAAACAAGTAAAGTTTAAGAAACAAAATGTGGCACTGTAGCTTGCGTATAAAGGGGCATTAATACTATTAAATTTTGGTTCTTAATTAAAGGTCGACAGGGTGAAGACATAAAAGTGGTCATGTGTCATAGCTCTTAATGAATATTTTACTCGTTATTAGCGTTCAAAATTAAAAAAAAAAAATTAATAAAACTCGTCTCTACCCTCAAAGTAAGCTTGTTTGTCATTTTATAATAGTATGGTAAAACCAGTTAAGATGTTCTCACACCTAAGATGTTAGAATGTATATGGACACGATTTAGTTCAACTACTTTGACTTAAATAACTAACTAATGTATTAAACCATCTGACTCCGATTCTGACCACTCTGACCACAGAAATTATTAGGCTTCAAACAAGGTGAACGAAATCATGCCCCCCACACAGTCTAACATCCACACACATTAAAAAAACCTCGAATCTTTTGCGTATCTAGAAATTTCGAGGTGTCCCGAGTCCAAAAATGTAAAAATTTGGGAGGGGTCATTTTTTGACCGAGCGCTACACTTTTCCTACTACTAATTTTTACTTTTCCTACTACTAATTTTTACTTTTCCTACTACCGAGCCGGAAAAGTAAAAATTATTGAATACATATTTACCATTACTTAGAGAAGTCTTTTAGCTTTGGAATAAAAAGTTTCTACGCTCTATCTTTATTAGAACTCTATTTATTGAATCTTTTATTCTGAGGTCACGTGATGACATCAGAATTTCCAGGTCTCTTTCAGTAACAAGTCTGCCCCTAGTCGGAGTCAGATGGTAAGGAAAAGTTGGAGTCGGTAAATTTTTACGCGACTCCACAGCCCTGGAAATTTCTGCTCAGGACCATTCCTGGGTTGTTGACCATCCAGGTGAAAAACAATACTGCTGCCTTTATTAATTTATTATTTAACTAGCAGACCCGCCATGCCTTGTTGTGGCTCAAAATGTATCTATTATAAATGTATAACACTTCCCCAGTGGGGGGAAATTTTTCGAAAAATTTTTTCTTAGTGTACTGTACATTCTGTTGACGTACCCTATTAAAACGCAATCAAAACGCAAAAACCCGCATCTAAAATAGTATAATAGAAGCCAAGTTTTTCAGAGTAAGCCTTAATCCTGTCTCTCTCCCCCGCGGGGAGAATATCAAGTCTCTTCTTAGTGTACATTCTATTGACGTACTCTATTAAAACGCAATCAAAAACGAAAAAAACTGCATCTAAAATGGTATAAATAGAAGCAGAGTTCTTTACGGTAACCTTTTCCGTAAGGCTTACCGTAAAGAACTGTCCATCCCCCATGTTTAACGGAATAATATATAGCCTATGTCCACCCTGAAGTTCCATTCTAAATATTGGTGAAAAAATTTTTGAAATCGGATGAGTAGTTTCGGAGATTACCTGCTGCATACAAACTAACATACATACATACATACAAACATTACCTCTTTATAATATTAGTATAGATTGAAAATTTCATACACAGTGTTTTCTTTTATATCTGTGAATAATACAGCTTCAAAATATAGTTTTATATCTATATATACATAATTTTTAATAATTGATAATCATAATCAACAAATTTTAATTATTATTCTTATTAGACAAAATTTTACACATAATAAATGGTCTGCAGTTGCCCCTGGATTTGGCTGTCCAGGTACAGAGGCATCTTTTTCACCTCTATCATGAACAGCACTGTTCCTGGCTCATAGATATGATACCAAAACCATGGGCTGGAACTTCTCAACACATTTTCAGAGGAGACAAAGTTTAGAGATACCATTCCATACCAGAATCAAAATGACAATGACAATCACTATTGTAGAAACCTTTTTCATCTCCCATGATAAGAGATTTCAAGATAACTAAAGTCAGTTGGAAAGGTAGTCACGACTGTCTTTTAAAATATGAAATGCATTTTACTAGCAGACTTTGTGCATTACAATAAAACAATTAATGCCAAACAATACTATCAAATATTATTAAAGCTGAAGAAAGTGAGATGTCATAACCTCTGTAAAGTTAATAAACTCTACAGAAATTATGGCTGATCTCACATATAACCCAGAATAAATTTTAAAATATTTTTGTACCAAAAAGGCATAAAATCTGGCAAATTTTGAATAGTTACTCTTAAAGGGCTGGCAGTATTAATTAGCTAGTTTCATCAGTTGTTCTTTAAAGGAGAATATCACATATTGAATTGAAAATAAGAAGGATGTTTGAAAAATTATAACAGATGTTACTCAAATCAGATCACAAAAATTTGATAATTGAATCTGAAAATTAAACTGATGTCAACAAAACTGATAGAGTGGAGAAGCGTGAAGAAAATTCTGATATTGAACAAGAAATTTCTAATGATGAAAAAGTTAACATATTATGTTAGCATATTAATGCATATATAGTCAGTATATAAAGTATAGTAATGCATATGTTGGCATATGTAGTCAATAGTCCAGTTTATGAACTAAAATGATGATAACACGTGTCCTCAAATGACCCAACCCAGAAACTTCCACAAAAACATTACTGAGAATGATTGAATCATCTCCCTTATAGTCCCAACCTTGCACTCAGTGATTTTTTCATAGATGATTTCCAGTAACTAGTGCAGTGCTGGGCAAATGTTTGACAATGCAGTTACATCAAAAAGTAGAATAGTAATGGTAATTTGTTGCAATGTACATTGTGTTTCTTAAAATAAATTCTTATTGATTTGAAAAAACTAATAAATTTACTTTTTGAACCCTCCTAATTTTATACCTTACATGTTTTACTTATTTAACCCATAATGTTTATTAATGATTTGAAAGATACGGATTACTAAATTAGTTGTTTAATAACTTAATTCCAAAAATAACTTTTTGAAATAACTTAGATTTAGACTTTACATTGTTTCTGTATTTTAAGATTTGGCTTTTTTTACCTTTTGATTTGCCATTTGTTAATCTTTAAGAATATGTTAAAACCAAGTCTGTGGAGTCAGAGTTATGAAGAATTTCTGGCCAGAGTCGGGAAAAATGTGTCGACTCTGACTTTGGCATTTCAAATTTAATTTAGTTTTTTATTTCAATAAAAGAAAATTTATTTTATATTTAATAATTTTTTTAAATGTTTTTGTATTTTGTTATAATTCATTTATTTTAAATACAAAATGCATCAATTTAATTTATTAAATATGTATTACTAGTAGCCCGGGATGCCCCCTAGTGGGCATTCTTTACAAATTCCCATGAGGCACAGTTCCTTTGACTTTTTTATTCCTATCAATATGTTCTACAGCTCTGTTAAAGTCCCAATCGCGTCATGCGTATCTAGATTCCTACCTATTAGACATTCTATAAATGCTTTAAAATAGTTTAATTTGTTTATTTACCTTCACTTGTAAACCTCAATTTTAAATGTATCAGCCATTTTTTCAATAAATTTCCTGTGAGTCAATGCGCGATGTTCACTAAAAGTCATGGGATATTGTAAACGTGCAGCACAAGATTAATCAAAGCATATAATAAGGCAAGGCATATAATAATTATTTATACTATTCCATGGTATAAATAATAAATTCATATCAATAATAAATTCTTATTACAAATAAAAATAATTTATTGTTAATTTAAAATCATCGCTAAGGCACCTCTAGTGCCCGTTTTTGGCATACTGTTACATGGACAAACACACAGTGAATGGGTTATATAGATAGATTATTTGTAGTATTTGTGTTTAGTAGTTAAATTGTTTCAACTTAATTGAATTTGAATATTTTAGAATCATTCCTTTATTATCCCTGCTCGAAATAAGTACTCTATTTTTCTGAATGAGCGAGACTAATTGATCAGAGTATATATTTTCTTTTCTGAACAAGGAGCTGAAGTAACTAGATTGCACTTTTTAGTGGGACTAACTCTTCTAAAAGGGTGAAATTGGAGTGCAAATGCTGTCAAATATATGTAGATGTAAAATTTTATTGTCCCCTTTCTCCACTTATTAAATATTTGTTAAAAATTAATTTTTTATACAAATAAATATTAATTTAAGTTAAATATTAAATATACTAATTATAAAAGTATTTGTGTAAATGCCCAGGGCTCCTTTCAGAGTTCAAAGTAGGGTACCCACCCCCCTATGTGCCCTCTGCCTCCATAAAATGACTTGGTTTGTAATTTTGCCTGAGTTGGCCTACTAAAATTATCAGGAGTCAAAGTCAGAGTAGAGTGTTTTTTTTTTTTTTTTTACTGACTCCGCAACCCTGGTTAAAACAATTTTAAATTTTAAAACAAACTAAAAATTATAGATTGTATATCAAAAATTAAGTTTGATTTATTCAATCTGAAAACTATTCTTTTAATATGCAACTGTTATTGAACTGAAAGATCAAAATTATTCCTAATAAAAATTTATATTAATATTTTAGTCTGTACTATTTTTGTTTCATTTAAATATTTTATTTCAAAAACTTCTCTTAGAAATAATTTTAATGAAATAACAATAATAAATAAAATTAAATTTAAATCAACACACAAAAAATTTATACTCACAATTCTCCCCAATATCATTTGTTCTAGCTTCAAGAGCTTCAACATATTGTTCCTGTAGGAACCACCTGAACAGTAATAAATGTAAAAGTTTTAAAAAATAAACTATTTAAAACTATGGAGTCAGATTAATTTTCTAATCTTATGTAATTGTATTATAGAAAAATACAATTACATAAGATTGGAATGTAAAAGTTATTTACTAAATCTATTTAATAAAATTGTGTATTATTAAAAAATTATTTATTTATTAAAACATGCAAAATATTTGAAAAATTACAATCAAATAATGCAAATTCATATCTTAAATCACATTCATTACTAATAAATTTTTTAATACAGTCAAACCTATCTATAACAGAACCTGTATATAGTAAAAACCTATCATTAATGGAAAATTTCTTCAGTCCCTTGAATTTTTGCAATAAGTAATGTAAATTAACCTGTATATAGCAGAACCTGTTCAACACAGAAACAGAAAAGAAAATTTGGCCGTATAACAGAAAAATCGGCATCTTTATTCGATTTAACACAAATTTAACAAGTTTACAAGCCTAGCATATACAAATCATAAAAAGTAAAAAAATACACAAACACAATATAGAATAGAAAAATATGACTACTGTATTACAGTAATTTTATTGGAATTTGAATGGAAAGGTTTTGCATAGTTTTATTAACAGCTGTTTTTACTTAAGATAAATATGTGATGTAATAAGTTGTGAAATTTAACACATTATTCCTGATGTAAGATTGTATTCTTTGTTTTGAAGCTTATTTTAAACTTTTTTACATCATATTTCATCTGAATAAAATCAAGTTGAAATGTCTGCAGATAAAATGCACATCAGACATATTATGCATGCTTTTTAACTTTTGTAAAGAATATCATACTATACGAGGGGTCGGCAGGAGTGGTTCACGAGCCGCATGCGGCTCTTCGGACAAATTCCAATTTCACCTCATCTCAAGCAGCCTTATAACTTGAGTTTATGAGACAGAGCCGCCAAACAAACTTTGACTCGTACAGCATACTCTCTGCCACTCTAGCCCGTCCACACATGACCACACTTGCATTGATTAATATGAGCCACATGTAAGTGGTAGCATTTGAAGCATATCTATATATATAAAAATGAATGTATGTCTGTGTGTCTGTCCTTCATGAATTACCACACCGTTTATCTGATTGCCATGAAACTTTGGGAAGTTGTTTAATATACTCCAGCGAAGGTTTCTGGCATAGTACATTTATCCTACGATAGATGGTGCGCGTGTATACGAGCATTTACTGTGTGTTCGATTGATTTCAAATTGTGAAGACCATTTCCCTCCTCCAAAAAATATCTCTATATATGCATTTGTGAACTATTATTTATGATGTTTGTAATAATTTTTGTTTGATCACTTTATTTCAACTTTTCTTTTCTTTGCTAATTATGTATTCGCTCGAACTTTGTTAAAACCTTAACTGATGTAATAAGTTTGCACTTCGGGATACAGTTCGGGATACCTTAACTGTATCCCGAACAACAACCGAAGTTGTAGGAGGAAATTCGCCTATTTTACTGATCTAGGGATCTCCTTTTCCAAATTTTAATATCATCTCAAAATAATTTAAAAAGACAAATTAGAATAAAATGGTTTATTATCCAACTATCAGAAATTTCACAACATGTCAAGGAAGAGAGGAAGGAGCAATTAAATAATTAAAATTGTAAAGGATTAAAAAATATATATAAAAATGGGGAATATCGCACTTCTGACAATCGCTGCAAGTGTGTGGGCTAAATTTGGAGAATCCGTGCTTCTCGCATGGACAACTGTATGTGGCTGGCTCACGCGTCGGAAAACCTTCTGATTTATTTGTGTACGCATCAGACGGAAAAACAAAAAATATCGTGTATCCACAAGCACTCCAATAAATAAATAGAATTGAAACGACACTTTGAAATGTTTTCCCGATGAAAGTGAATAATAATAATAAGTTTCAATAAAAATGATAAAATGTAAATTGAATTTTATCATAACGAGTTTGCTTGAATTTCCTTTCTTCTGGGATCGCAGCAATGCACAATGGATAAGCTAGTCTATATATATATATATAATTATCCCATTGAATGTGTGTCCGTCGTCCAACGTCTGTCCGTGTAACGTTATGCCAAAAATGGCCACTAGAGGCGTCCCTGTCATGTGTCGTATTTTGCACATTTAAATTAACAATATAAATTATTATTTACATTAACAGTATAAATTGTTATTATACATATGTATATTACATATATACGGACAGCTCTCTGGTACTTTTGTTATCATGTTTCCATGACAATTTGGCTCTTCTCACTTGACAAACTGCCAACCCCTGCACTACACAAACAGTAATAAATACTCATACTGTGCATGGGAAAGATGCTTCTAAACTCCAAATGTGTCAAATGTGGTTTTGAAAGTTTCGTTTGAGAAATTTTGAACTAAAAGATACAAAACGTATGGATTCCCAAAAGCTATAAAGAGAAATCGTGGGAAAAAATTGTTAAAGTTTGATAAATAACAACTCACGAATTTGTAACAAATCTTAGTGTATCACAGACATGTATTGCTGAAACATTAAATCCACTGAAATGGTTGTAAAACATGCTGATGATTGTGTTCCGCATGCAGTTTGTTTTTATTCACTTATGTTGATATACATGGTAACACTGAGAAATTTATTAATCGCATTAATCAAGGGATACCTATAGTAGGTAACCTATATATAGTGAAAACCTGTCTACTATGGAAGAGTTGCTCAGTCCCTTGGGGTTCCATTATAGATAGGTTTGACTGAAAAAGCAAATAATTTTTTAAAGCTATCAATGAAAATATTTAAATTTTATACTGCTACTCATTATTTTATTTGATTAAGTTAGTTAGTTTATAATATAAATGGTTTAACATAATTATTGCTGTTTTCTCTGGATAAAAATTTTTTGTGAATTTTTCTTTATCTGAATTCAGTTCTTTCCTTTTACTAAAACCGGTGATTCATATGCTCAATGTTTTGTCATTACTGTTTCCACAGCAACTATTTGTTTGTTTAAAAGAACTAGTTGTTACACATCCAGTTTAAATATGGATATAAAGCATCAATAGTGGTGTGAAACATTCACTACTGCATAACCAAGCAATTTGCTAAAGACTGTACAGCTCAAAATTTGTTTAAGCAATTTCATGAGTACTGCAATTCTTATGCTGACATATAGAGAGCTGGTAAAATGCCAACAGTAAGCAAGAGAATCCTGGCTCAATGCTCAAGCAGAAGACAGATCATATCAAAACAGAATAATCACAGGGAGTCTACTCAAGGATGACATCCTGGTAGTGGATGATAAAAACTGGGAGAAAACTAAGACAAGGACATTATGTTCCATATGATTTGACACAGCATATAAAGCAACATTATATCAACATTTGTCAATAACTCTGCTACCATCAATAAGGATGACATCTCAGCCAAAACATTACTGATAAAAGCAGGATCCACTATGATGGTCAAGTGCAATGAGTCCAGTGGCTTAATATAAGTGAGATGGCAGATCAACACTGAAACTGGTCAGTCACAACAAGAAATGGATATTCTATACTTTCTGGTCAATACAGGGTCTACTGCTATCTTTTTGATACAGCACAAGCTATTCTGTTCAACCAGTAGATAGAAGAGCATCATAAAGAAAAGTTGTTGTTCTAGCAAAATAAAGAAACATTATCCTGATGGCCTCATGTTTCAAACATGACACAAAATAAAATAATTTATAATCTCAAATGGGAAATGTACTGTAAACATAATGATCATGGTATGGCAGCATACAGACTTTATTTTTATTAAAATTCTTTGCAATCTGTGAACTCTAATAAAATCTCTCTCTCACACATGACCATCGTGTATTCAGCCAGGCTGACAATGGCCTCTCACCACCTAACCAGCTGGAAGATGAGGGTCAAAACGTTTATAGAACAATTCTGAGATTTCTTAACTGGACCTCCAGAACAAGCTAACAGATTTACTGCTTCAACCATTTAGCCATCATGGACTATATGTTACTGCATAAAGAAGCAAATGTTTCTTAACAATCATAATACCTGTTTGATGATCAGAAAAAAAATGTTTTAAAACATTTTACATCTTAATAAAGTAATTTATTACCTTTATATGTTTATAATTATGTTTTGAATTGATAACATAAAAAAATTAATTTTTTTCATTTAACCCTTCTCTGGGCAAGGCAAGTCTTTTGGACTCATCACAGAATAATATTGTTAAATTGTTAAACTAAAAATTTATCTAGAAAATTAGCTCTTTTGACTTTATATGTTTTGTCATAATTTTTTAAATTAGGCACAAATTTTTTTTCAACAGTGTTTTTGTTTTTCTTACAAATTGTTTTAATTTTAGTTCTTTTCTTCCAAGATGTTCTAAATTATTTAATAAATTATTATAATTATTTACATAAGAGATGATACCTAATGTCTACCTCTAGTACCAAATTACTTAGTTTCTAATTATTAATTATAGCATATTAATAGCTGAATTAATTACAGCAATCATTTGGCTTAATATCAATAAATCATAGCATTGGGTTTCGGGAAGTTGATATTTACAAATTGTTTTAACAGTATTTGTGACAAAAATGGACAAGCTGGATCTCAGATTCATTGCTTTACAGCACCGCACAATTGTTTGACTGAAATTTGTAAAATTTAGGCATTAAATTGCTAGTCTTTTGTGTTTTATAAGCATTCTACATGTGTGTTGTTTGGTTGTCATTGCTATTTCACAGTACTTAATTCTTGTATAGCATTCAGGTAAGTTGACAAAGTATTGTTTTTCCTTTTATTATATTACACAAACAACATGTATATGCTATGTCTGTCTTCTAGTGACAAAGAAAAATGATAACAGATAAATTGCTGAACGCTTTGCAAGCAGACAGTTACAATAATTATGATATAAATCTTACTTAATTGTACTATAAACTAGTACATGAAAATTTAAATTTTCTTCTCTTTCTGACCCGTGGAGGAATAGTGA